TAAAACAAACAAGAAATTTCTTCATCTTTCTCACGAAACCATCTGGTGGCGAAACGGAGTTCGTCGGGTTTGCTAATATATATATATTATATATATATATATATATATATATATATATATATATATATATATATATGAATCTTTTTTCGGTTGCCTCATAATCAACAGTTACTGAAATTATTTTTTTTATTAAAATAGGTATTTTTGTCTTTTCAAAAATGTGCATACGATTAAAACGCTTGATCGCCTTAGGTTCACTTATAACCAAAGTCATATCTACTATTAAAAACTATATAGAATTCAGTCTGAGATCAACTTTTGTTTCAGTTACCAAATCCAAAAAAAAACATTATTCAAATAACCTATAAAATATAATAATAATCTCAAAAAGTAACGAACGTACTTATAAAAATTATTAGGTCTCTGTGTGTCAAGAAAGAAGATGAAACTGTTCATGGAGATACAGCCTTTATTGGCTACGATCATCATCAGTGTTTTTCAATTTGAGCAAATTCTTTAGAATATTGTATTTATCCATGATTTTTTCATATTCATAAAAAATCTCTATTAAACCGGTACGACTAAGGAATTTTGCAAAGGTACGATTTAAGCTGCATGGTCTTTGGAATTTAAACATTACATTTCAAAAATGTAAGATCAAAAATGATATTTTAATACCAAAAATGGTTATAAAATAAGTGATATAAAATAGGAAAATAATTCAGAATCATATTATTTACATGAAAGACTTACAGCTGATGATGTATTTTATAATTATCAGACAAAATATAACCGTAGTACTGCTAAGGTGGTGGTACGACTTGCGCAACTTTACTCTATCATGTAGTCATTATCATTGCACTAAAGTATTTAAATGTGTATGTTAAGTCTATAAAATTAATGTTTATATTCTTTTACTAAAGTTTTGTTTACTCACAAATGTGTCTTCTCGGTGTCCTAGTGGTTAAAGCTATGGACTTCGAATCGGATCAGAGGTTTCAGGTACGATACTCGCCTCTGACAGCTTGATGTCAAGCTGCAATGACATCGGTTTCAACTTGAAAATATATAATATGTTTCCAAGTGCCTTTCCCCGTATAACTGAAAAAATCATAAGTATTATATAAATTGCATTAATAAATTCATCTTATAATGGTAGGACAACCTTTTTAGGTTGCTATCTATAAAAAGGCAGTCGTTGAAGCACAACAGCTCATAGGTCTCGTCAAGTTCTGATTGCAGTTAAAAATATAAAAAAAAACTCATAATTAAGCTTCTTGGTTCAAGTCTCTTATTATAAAATTATTCATAACGCGTGCCATTTTTCAGTTCGATGAATATTCATTTTATTTTTTAACGAATGATTTCATATTGGATGCAAAACATAAATATAATTTGCAATTTGTATAAAACTAAATTTTATCCCAATTCAACTTCGTAATTCTTTTACAATTATGTCTTAAATTCATAATTTTATTCAAAAGCAATATGTAGAGTGTGGGAGCGACCGTTTTGCGAATTACAAATTGTAAATTACAATAAGATTGATGTCATAACGAACGACTTACTACATGTCCAACTTTGAAGAATCCAGAAGTAAAAACTAATTATCATTTGTCAATTTGTTACTCTCAACTCAATGGTGGAAAAATGCTTCTGGAATGTGATCATTAAAAATAAACAATTTAATACTATTTTATTAGGTGCCATTTAAAACATGCCTTATGACCCCATATTTCTGCCCAAACATATTTTAAGTAAATTTAACATATTTAAAAAGTACTAACTCAAAATGCTATCATTTAATTATCTTACCCCTTAACTAAAATTTATACATTATCAAGAACATATAATAAGCAATCATCGAAAAATACATAAAAAATTGTACAATCAGTGGCTGCAAGCGATGACCAAGTGAAGAAAACTCCTTTACCTAACTATTTACCTTTCTGGCCTAATATTTTTATAGACTATATTGATTAGACTTTGTTGTAATTAAAAAATATTAAGATTAATGATAAACATCTTACTTCAAACGACGATATTTTTGACAAATGGTATAGTCATTGCTATATTGTTAATTTAATCGATTCTGGCAAATTTAACCAATAATTAAATATCTTTCATGGCGTGGTTCTGATGTTGTTTCTTTTTTATCAATATGTTCGTGCGTAATATGGTTTTAACTGTAGTCGATTGTTATAATTCGTATAGGTGCCTTGCTACAAACAGGAAACACAATACAAGAATAATTTATTACGTTGTTCAAAGACAGTTCTACAACTCTTTCAAGAGACACATTTTAATTTACATACTTTATTGTTCGTTTTTTTATTATAATAGTATTGAAAAATCAGGTTTTATCAAAATTTTAATTATAATTCCAACTTTTAGTGTATGTGTCTTAAGGCCAATTTCTGGAACTTTCTGTTTTGTAAACAAATATACGATAATGATTACAATTCAAAGTCAAATAACAATAATAATTATTATATTTGAATTCATTTTAAAGAATTATAATCCTTTTTTTCTTTGCGTTCAGAAACCTTTGAAATGTAAAAATATATAAAAAAAGATTATCGATTTTTTGCGATTTCTATAATATAGCCTACAGAAAGTTTCAAAATATTTAAAACAATCGTAATAAATAAAATGTATACACAGTATAGAAAACTTTATGAAAACATTGATAATCTGATGTATAAATCAAACAGTCATTTTTAAATATAAAATAACCGTTTTGAGCTATCTTTATCACATACTTCATATTCATTTTTTATATCAGATTTTATTACCTTAGAGACATGATCGTAAATGTAATTTTAATGCAGTTACAGTATTCGGCTTTAGTAACGTTATTAATTGGCTATGATAGAACCGATGCTTCCCCGTTGTATCAAAAATTTATCCCGCAGTTATATAAAACATCATTTTTGATCTTAAATTCTTATACCTTTAGTGGAAAACCTTAGAAGTATACAAAATAGATAAACACATCAGTAATATCAGCTAGAAATAAATGAAACTAAAACAGTCATAAATTTTCAAAGTTATGTAAAGCTCAGTCAATAACGAACAGCTCGCAAGATCATTACTATGCAAAATAAACGTATTGTATCTGATTTGAAAAATATTCATAAAGACAGCGAAATAATGTTATACACGAGCAAAATGCATTCTATCTGCACAAAATCCTTCTTCTGATGGCTTTGTAACATATTCTGTAGCATTTGCGACATATGATTCTGTAATTTATTTCTGCAAAAGCTTAATTGGAAAATTGGAACCCCATGTTCTCCTAGCATACAAAACAACTTTTTACAGATCTTGAGAACGTTTATAAAACTATTTATTTAATATTTTTTATTGCCACTGGTTGGTTGCAAAATCAACAATATTAATACAACATGACTAGTTGAGTTTTGCTTCAGCTACGAAGCAGTGCACATCGTCCGTTATACCTGCGAATAATCCGGTTTTATACCTGCAGTATTTACGTACCCTGTACGGGTACGTGAATTCAATAATCAAACTACTGATAAGCCATTGTTATCAATAGAAGTGTCAAATAGTGCAAGTGAAAACAACAGTGTTTGAAGCATGACCCCGGCTGGGGTCAGCCATCATGAGTGCTCAAAAGTCGTTTATAAAGCGCTTGAAACCTTAAATAATGATAATGAAAGTGATTTCGACAGTATGGAGGAAAGCGACGAGTTTGTTGACGATCCTATTGTTAATCCTATTAACTATCAATCAAATACATCTAATGCCAATGTTGATTGGCAAGTTGTAAATCACAAGAAACGAGCAGCAACACCCACGGAGTCTTCAAGAAGACAAGCCAAGGTAGTGGTAACGAAAGACTACTGGCTTAAAGCTAGTACTCCAACCAGAAATTATTATGCAGTTTTAGAAAAAACATCTGATCAAAATTCACCATCTCAAAACAAACAAGTGCAAAATAAAACAGCGATCAAACCTCCACCGATTTTTGTTCACGAAGTGGGAAATATCAAGCCATTGATTGAACTGTTAGAAAGCGAAGCCAAGAAACAGTACACACTAAAAACTATAGGAACATCACAAGTGAAAATAAATCTTGAAAGTGCACAAACTTATAATATTATTCTAAACAAACTGAAAGAAAGAGGAACACAGATGCATTCCTTTCAAGATAAGTCAAAACGGTCATTTAAAGTCGTGGTTAAAAACTTACACTTTAGCACCGACCTAGACATGGTAAAAAAAGAAATAGAAGAACTAGGGCATAAAGTCGTACACATCTCTTTCCTCAGAAGCAGATATACAAAATTCCCACTAAATATTCTCTCGGTAGAACTGGAGCAAAAAGAAAATAATAAAGATTTTTACAAAATTGAATTTTTATGCAAAACAAAAGTTGAAATTCAAGCCAAACGATATTCTCGCGAAATAGTCCAGTGCACACAATGTCAAAGGCTAGGACATACAAGAAATTTTTGCTACAGAACTCCCCGCTGCGTGAAATGCGCTCAGGAACACCCAACTAAAAAATGCTCATGGACAGACAAAATAAATAGCGGAGTAACATGTGTTCTCTGCAATGGAAATCATCCGGCTAACTACAAAGGCTGCAGGGTTTATAAAGAACAGCTCGAAAGAAAATATCCAGCTCCTCGGGAAAGGCAATTCACTTCCAATAGGCAATTTACCAGTAACACAACAGTACCTGGAGTTTCGTACTTAAGGATTGCTCGTGGAAATACACACCCAGCTGAAGAGACTACTGAAGAGTCTACTACAAACAAAACAAACAACAACAATAACGACCTATATGAACTCAAAACAATGATCAAAACACTGACCGAACAAATGAGCACAATGCTCAATATACTCACAACAATTTTAAACAGGAAGTTTTAATGGCAGGGATTTTAAGAATATGTTTATGGAACGCCAATGGTCTGTGTCAGCATACACAGGAGCTTAAATATTTTTTAATAAACAACAACATCGACATCATGCTTATATCTGAGTCTCATCTCACAGACAAAAAGGACTTTCGTATTACTAATTACCAAACGTATAGCACAAATCATCCGGATGGAACAGCGCATGGTGGATCAGCCATAATTATTAAAAACAAGATCAGACATACTGTTTTAGAATCATTTTCCACTAACTACATGCAAGCAACAAATATTGCTGTTGACATATTTCCGAAAACCATTATTTTTTCAGCAATATACTGCCCTCCTAGACCTACAATCTGTCAGCAACAGTTCTTGAACGTTTTTCAATCCATTGGTAATGTATTCATCGCTGGAGGAGATTATAATGCAAAAAACACATGCTGGGGATCGAGACTAACTACTCCCAGAGGACGTGAGCTCCACAAAGCAATGAACCTGCTAAACCTAAATGCAATATCCACAGGCGAACCCACATATTGGCCCACTGACTTAAGCAAATTACCAGACTTGCTCGACTTTTTTATAACCAAAAATATCCAAGAAAGCTCTATAGAAGTTCGATCCTGTCTGGACCTAAATTCGGATCACTCACCAGTAATACTAACGTATTCTCAAAACTTCAATATTGTTACTGACAGTCAATTACTAACCAATAAATACACAAACTGGATAACTTATAAAATTTTTATTGAAAATAACCTACACTGCAACATTCGCTTGAAAACTGAAGATGAAGTCAACAATGCCATCAATCAAGTAACAACTATTCTACAACAAGCAGCAACTATTTCGACACCCAGAGATGTTAATTGCAAGACTCTCAGCATTCCTTTGGAAATAAAAAAACAAATAGCCATCAAAAGAAGATTGCGTAAAATATGGCAAGTCACTAGGCATCCCGAAGATAAGAAAAGACTTAATAGAGCCTGCGAAAATTTAAAATCAACAATTAATGCTTATAAAAATGAATCTATTAGGACTTACCTAAACAACCTATCTTCAACTCAAGATACGAATTATTCGCTGTGGAAAGCATGCAAACGACTCAAGAAACCAGTTATGGCTGTACCACCGATCAGAAACCCTGATCAGTCATGGGCAAGATCACACAAAGAAAAAGCCGTACTATTTGCTGACTATTTACAAGAAACTTTTAACCCGGCACCTCCTCAATGCAGTCGTAGCGAAGAAGACTTCATAAGTGATTATCTCCACCAGGATATAAGAACTACTAACAGTGTTAACAGAACCACCTTTTCAGAAATTTCCGGTTTAATCAAATCATCCAAATCAGGAAAATCCCCAGGACATGACAAAATAACAATAAGAATGCTAAAAGAAGCACCCAAGAAGTTGATAAGATATTTAGTTATAACCTTCAATGCAATAATTAGACTTCGTTGCTTTCCAGAAGCATGGAAAACTGCTAAAATAATTTTAATTCCTAAACCTGGTAAAGACCATCATTTAGTTTCATCATATAGACCAATAAGTCTACTTTCATGTGTATCAAAAATCTTTGAGAAACTTATTTTAAAACGAATAAACTCTGAAATACATAACAAAAACTTAATACCTAACTATCAATTTGGCTTCCGACAACAGCATTCAACAATCCAACAAATCCACAGAGTAGTTAATACAGTCAATGAAGCTCTTCACTCAAAAAATTATTGCTCTGCAGTTTTTCTAGACCTTACGAAAGCTTTTGATAAAGTGTGGCATAAAGGACTCTTATACAAACTTAAAAATGTCTGCCCTATAACTTATATATCTTACTTAACTCTTATTTACAAAACAGAAAATTTACGTCTACATAAATGGTGTTCAGTCAGAAGTGAGAAATATTAGAGCCGGAGTTCCTCAAGGAAGTGTTCTGGGACCAACATTATTTCTTCTATACACAGCCGATTTTCCTGTTAATTGTAATACCATATAGCCATGTTTGCAGATGACACGTGCGTTATCGCTCAGCATCAGATCCCGAAATGGCATCATTACTTCTTCAAGTTCATCTGGACAAAATGGAACAATGGTTTAAGCTGTGGAGAATCGAAGTCAACAATTCCAAGTCGGTACATGTTACTTTACCCTTCGCAAAGACACATGTCCTCCAGTTAGAATCTTCAACCACACAATTCCTGCTAAAGAGACAGTCAAATACCTGGGGATGATTCTAGACAAGAAATTAAACTGGAAAGAGCACATAGCCGCTAAACGGGCACACATGGAACACATAAGAAGAACCTTACACTGTTGTTGGGTAGGCAATCAGAACTATCAGCCTACAACAAGATTTTGTTGTACAAAACCATCATAAAACCAGTTTGGACATACGGAGTTCAACTATGGGGATCCGCCAAAAAAAGTAACATTCAAATCATACAAAGGTTCCAGAACAAACTCTTAAGACAAGCAGTGGGAGCTCCCAGATATGTCCCCAACTGGATGATACATCAAGACACTTGCACAGCCACAGTCACAGAAGAAATTAAAACTATTCAATGAGACACAAACAAAATATTGACAATCACAGCAACGAACTTGCAGCCAAATTATACGACACAACTTTCGATTACAGACTGAAGAGAACAAAACTTATTCAGTTAGCACAATAAGGTTTTTAAGTTATCGTTTAAAAATAATGTAGACCTACTCCTATGTTTAAACTAGATTAGTTTAGATTAGAAGATTATTATTATTATTATTATTATTATTTATTTATTTATTTTTTTTTTTTTTTTTTTTTTTTTTTTTTTTTTGTTGGTTTCGTTTGTTTTATCTAATATGTATAGTTTAATTTGTTTAGTTTTAAGACTACCTGGATCAAATCTACCTTAGTTTAACAACAATAATATTAGGACCACCACTGGGCGGCCTGATATGCCCTTTCTATTTATATTAATCATAAAAATTACTAGATGTCATATTTATAGACAGTTGTAATTACTTAATGAAATAAAAAAAAAAAAAAAAATCTAACGTTTTAATTTTTCAACTTTTACTAGTATAGACTACTGCATGGTTAGATTGGTTCCATTATTAGCCGGAAGGATTGCACTTCTTTATATAATTAAGAAAAATTGGCTGACCCTATATTTAATTATATAAAATTCCAATCATTATCACATTTATACAGTCTGCTTCAAAATTATAAGTTGATAGTGATAATAATTAGACGATTTGATGTAATTTGTATAAAAAGCTACTATAAAAAAGTGAAAAACAAACAATTTGCAAATACTGATATTTTTCATGACTTTTTTGAAATTTTTTTTAAAAACTGATTTTTTTTTGAAAAATTTGAACTTTCTTGAAGATTCTTGATACTCATTTATGTTGATCCGTACTGTCGAAAATATCAGGTTTTTTCGACCGCCAAACGGCAGTTTTTTTACTTTTTTTTCTGGATCTTTGAAATCGTTAGTCTTGCCTTTGCAAAAATTTATTCAATTCTTCTATACGTCAATACAAGTAAAATGCTTTTGAATAATTCAAGCCGGATGCTTAGTTCTCACAAAAACTTGATTGCCATAGTGTGAAATAGTGCAATAAATCTTTGCTCCGTATCCCCAAAACGGCTCGACCAACTTTTGCCAAAAACTAAACAGCACTCCTTCTTATCAATAACATTCGAATGCTATTTGCATATTCTCTTAAAAACGTTGACAAAAATTGTATCCATATATATGCACACACATACATACATCCATTTTTTTTAAGGTTGTCAAATGATCATAAACCTTTAAAACGTACCTGAAGATAAGCAAAAATTTTCATTTTAGATTTTTGGACGATATTATAAATAACTCACCCGACAGAAGATGGGGTGATAAATTCTACAAATGATTTTAGAATTACTTTGAATATTACCTATAAGCAACCCTGGTATAGCAGTTCTAGACTAATATTAGTAATCATCTATTTTCATAGATGAAGATTTTTTATACTCGATGTGCTCAAAGAGAACATTTCTATTATGAACTGCATCCATAGTAGTTCAGCTAAATTTGTTAAAATTTCTTAAATGGCTGATTATCCAAAAGGAGACCAATTCTCGGATAAAAAGAAATATCATATTACGAGACTCTTATATTGAATAATCGTATTAGTCGGTAATTATAAACTGTCAAAAAGTTATGAATTTACTATGCAATCAGGCGTTTACATTACATGTGAAACTAATCTCCAGAAGGCAAAAACGTCGGAAATTTAACTTTATTCGACTTGACCCATGCATTAGTAAAGTGACAAAAAAGTTAAACTTATGATGATATTGTTATTTGATATTTGTGCCTAATCCCTAGTAGAAACGAATCGTGGCGCAATATTGTACTTTTTATGGGCTCTATATTGTTTACCAATATTGCTATAATATTATTCTGTTAACATTTTCCCATATAAATCCAATATTAAAACAATATAGGCCCCATATAAAACCAATATTGATAAACAATATTAAAATCCCATTCAAAACTAATATAAGCCCAATATTGAAAACCAATATAAGATTAATATAAATAAACAATATTTACCCTACATAAAAAACCAATATAATCTCAATATAAATAAACAATATTTACCCCAAATTCAAAATTATTATTTAACCCACATTTAAAAATATTATTTAATTTATATAGAAAAACAGTATTTAACTCATTGATAATAAAAGTTTATTTATTCTAAATGAATACATACATTTTGAATAGTTTATGTATTGAATCTTAATCATTTTATTAACAATTTACAGATTATTTTATAATGATAAGATAAGAACAATCAAAATATTTTCAGTCATTATAATAATTTGGAGGATCATAATGGTAAATCATAATCTCATCTTTGTTAATCCTATCGCCTTAATTGTCTATTTATAAGTATTTTAATTAGTGATGGAAATTCTTATATTATTTGGATATTTTCACACGTGTTTTAACATTTTCTTGCATTCGATCACGATTACACCTGAAATAAGATAAAATATATTAATATTTTATAGCAATACTTCTGGAATATATTGATTTTATAAACTCATCATAAATTCAATTACTTAGCTTTTAATAAAAAAACATTTCTGGCATTGTAGTTTATTGAAAACTACTATTTTCTAGAACTCGATCACAGTTAAATCTGAAATAATTAAAAATACAGTAAATATAAAATTTTAACATTAATTTAAAACAGTACAATTATAATTTTAAATTAAAACAAAAAACTGTTGATGGAAATACTAATATCAAATATTCAAAAGCGATAATAAATTATTGAAAAGTCTGCATTTAATAAGTTTGTTAATATTTTTATTACCTTTTATCAAATCCATTTTTGCTATGTGATAGTTTTTATATTACAGCTGATTTTACATCCATTTCAATTTAGTCAATCTAGAATATATAAAATACATCATTGTTTACTAAATATGTATGTTGTTTATATAATATAAGTAATGAATATACTTACGTACCTTAAACATAAAACTCAAAATTATGTTAATTAACCGCTTGATTTTATTTATAAACTGTTCACAAAATATGTTTTTAGCCAATTATCATTTGATATCATAGATCATTTTATTTTTCACTAAATATTCACATTTTTCCAGACTTACTATATATTAGGAATATATTTTAATATTATAATAATTTCTAAATTCAACAAGAATTGCTAAATGCACTGCGTAACGAATTTCATACTATTGAAAAATGCGAGGTTCTGCACTTTGTTCGATGGTGATGCAGTAGACTTAGAGCATTGTTAATCAAAGGGCGGTTCTAACATATTTTTATGTATTTTTATGTTTTTGTATCATTTTATGTTACAAAGTATACGCTCATTAATTTGTCGTTATTAGTTTATTCAGTGTAGTAGTCAGTAAAGTATATCCATAACTCCCTTTTCATTCATTTCAATATGAGAGAGTTAGTAAATTGCATAATCAGTGAAACGTTACTTAGAAAATATTCAAAACAAAATTAATAAAATTGCTATTAATTATCATTATATCAAATATGTTTACATTTAGAAAATTTTTAATGTTTATTATTTATTAATTTTTTTTGCTGAATTATATTAAATAAATTTTATCTTCACAAAACATAATAATATTTCACTTATTTTATCCTACGTTATGGGCTTATGGATTCTTTCCTTCTTCAAGAACTAACCAACAAGCATTTTTTATAATCACACTATTATTTACTATGTACACAGTAATAAATTTAAAGAAGACTTCTTTTGCCTTTAAATTAATTTTTTAATTAAACTTTTACTCTTAAATAACATTAATGTAAATAATAAACTAGTATAGTAATATAAATAATAATTGCTATTAAAAATGCAAGAATATATAATTAAAACAAAAGTGCAATGATATAATATTAGTTCATAAAATACGTATAAAATAAGTTCGGCCATAACTGACATATAGTTAGGTAGTCGTCAAGATTCTAGACTCTAGAAACACCGAGGACGAAGGACAACGATTCGTACGAAGGACCGTACACGAAGCGAGATAGCCTTATACAAATATCGGTTATATGAAAGAAAGAAGAGACATTCTCAAAAACCAGATGTTCATACATAGCCATATACATGTTGATAGTGCAATTTCAGAATATTTTTATTCTATAGGAATAAATATAAAACGTCTATATTTATAAATATAAATCGATATATTAACAGATTTTACAGATGATAATAGATTTAAATAATATTAATACATACCAAACAAGAAAAAAACAAATTTAAGCAAGTCATGTGACTAACTACAAAATTTCATTATTTAACATTTATTTTATTCGAAGTTTTGATTTTTTTTTTATCAAACATTTTGTTTAATTTTTCTTTCTCAGTGCGGTACATACTGACATTATTTAAGTTTGTTAATTATTCTGGTACTTTTGTACTACTATAATCTTGTATAATTTTTGTTTTTTTACTGAATGATGACATACTTACAATGTCGTTAATAATATAGTTAATAAATAAATACAATATAGTTAAATTATTTATTGCTTTTTTAACTTCCCCTAGGTATTTAGGGGAATAATGAGACTAAATCGAAAATGAAGATTTTTGCATATCTTCACGTTTAATAATGGATTTAATTAATTTAGCTTTAATAAATTAATTCTGATCAAAAATATGTTTTTTAAGAGTCGCCATTGATGTTTTTGGTGCTAATTGATGATTTAAAATTGATTATTTTCTTGACCAATGTTAATGTTACTTATTTCCCAAGTTCGATAATAAAGAAAAAATAAATGTGAACATAATATTTACAATTTATATTGAATTCATATAAAATTTATATCAAACTGTTAATTACAATCGAGCTGATCAATGATTAGCTATGTATTAGCTAAGATATTATCAATGAGTAAATTCTGTTTTTTATATGAATTAAATAATATTTTTAAATGTGGATTAAATAATAATTTTGAATTTCGGGTAAATATTGTTTATTTATATTAATCTTATATTGATTTTCAATATTGAGCTTATATTAGTTTTGAATGGGATTTTAATATTGTTTATCAATATATTATATGGAGCCCATATTGGTTTTAATATTGACACTTACACAAAGGCATTAATGTAAAAAAATGTATCAAACTATTAATTACGATCGAGCATATGACCTTTTAAAAGCTTTAATCGTGTTTTTGGTGATAATCAATTATTTAAAGTTAATTTTTTTCGTAACCCTTATAAAGACCACATATTTCCCAAGTTCAATAATACTGAAGAAACGAATCGTGGTTGCCCAGAAAAAAATGCATAACCCCCACATTTGAAATTTATATTAATTTATAAGAAAAATGTATCAAACTATTAATTGCGATCGAGCATATGACTTTTTAAAAGCTTTAATCATGATTTTGGTGCTAACTAATTATTTAAAATTAATTTTTTTTCGTAACCCTTATAAAGACCACATATTTCCCAAGTTCGATAATACTAAAGAAACGAATCGTGGTTGCCCAGAAAAAAATGCATAATCCCCACATTTAAAATTTATATTGAATTTAAAAGAAATATGTATCAAACTATTAATTGCGATCGAGCATATGTCTTTTTAAAAGCTTTAATCATGATTTTGTGCTAATTAATTATTTAAAGTTAATTTTTTTCGTGACCCTTATAAATACCATGTATTTCCCAAGTTCGATAATACTGAAGAAACAAATCGTGGTTGCCCAGAAAAAAAATGCATAACCCTCACATTTAAAATTTATATTGAATTTAAAAGAAATATGTATCAAACTATTAATTGCGATCGAGCATATGACTTTTTAAAAGCTTTAATCATGATTTTGGTGCTAATTAATTATTTAAAGTTAATTTTTTTTCGTAACCCTTATAATGACCACATATTTCCCAAGTTCGATAATACTGAAGAAACGAATCGTGGTTGCCCAGAAAAAAATGCATAACCCCCACATTTGAAATTTATATTTAATTTATAAGAAATATGTATCAAACTATTAATTGCGATTGAGCATATGACTTTTTAAAAGCTTTAATCTTGATTTTGGTGCTAATTAATTATTAAAAGTTAATTTTTTTCGTGACCCTTATAAATACCATGTATTTCCCAAGTTCGATAATACTGGAGAAACGAATCTTGGTCGCCCAGAAAAAAAATGCATGAAACCCACATTTAAAATTTATATTGAATTTATAAGAAAAATGTATCAAACTATTAATTGCGATCGAGCATATGACTTTTTAAAAGCTTTAATCATGATTTTGGGGCTGATTAATTATTTAAAGTTAATTTTTTTCGTGACCCTTATAAATACCATGTATTTCCCAAGTTCGATAACACCGAAAAAACGAATCTTGGTCGCCCAGAAAAAAAATGCATGAAACCCACATTTCAAAATTATGTATAATTTGTGTAAATATAAAATTAGAGGCGTAAATCAGATGGGAAACATGTTTATTATTTGTAATAAACCATATAAAACACTTTTCCGATGAATTTTCCAAATTTTCCATAATTTTGAAAACAAATATTGTCCGGTCCATCTAAAGACAAGATTCGAATATTGCGCCACGATATTTTACCCCTCTAGCCACGATACATTTCTACTAGGGATACAATTAGTCCAAT